TTTTGCCACCCCCAACTCCATCTCTGCATCTGCTCCTGGGAAACCCAACATGTTGTGGTCGAGGGATGCGGTCCGAGAATGCTTCAGTGAGAGCCTCGGGCTCGCTTAGGTTGGACCTGTCATCAGGAGGGACCAGGCACTAGAAAAGGACGTCATGTTTGGTAAAGTGGAGGCTCTGCAGAAACAAGGGAAACCCTCTGAGATGGCTTGATGTGATGGCTGCCACCGTGGACTCAAAAAAGCCCATGGTCCTGAGGACAGCACAGGGCCAGCCCACAGGGTACCCTGACATGGCTAGGCAGCAACCACCAAGAGGGTTTCCAGACTGGATCGCTCAACGCCTGGCTTCAGACCCCTTCCAGGTAGGAGGGCACTGACCCAGGTGTTGACATTCTTCCTGGACGTGGCTCCTCGCCAGCATCCCTACCCTCTTCCACCCCGTTCAGTGTTGGAATTGTCCCAGGAGGGGAGGAGGGTGGAGTTGGAGGTTGTGAACCCAGGTGCATTGACTGGCAGTGGGTTAATGAGAACCTGGGGCAACTGGCAAACAATTGTCGACTGAGTGTGAGGGGGACTAAGTGTGAGGGCTCTGTCTCCAGTGGCTCCAATGAAGCGCTCGCCTGCCCTGGAGGTGGAAACACAGCCCACACTCACTTGGAACCCAATGTCGCAGCTTGAGTGGCTGAACTCAAAGGCGGCTGAAGCCACACAGAGGCGTGACTGCCATGCAAAGCTGCAGGTGGGGACAGCTGCATGGTGCTCCCAAAGATTCGGAGCCCGCAGAAGCCCTGAACCTTCTGAGCCCACGAAGCGGCCTACACTTCCGCATAAGGGGTCTCTCTGCCATGACGTAGCAGGCGCCCCTCAGGAGCTGTCCCCACATCCTCTCCAAGTCACCAGGCACATCACCTGGGCTCCCTGGTGCCCTCTTTCCCCACTTAACTGGACTGCAGCTCAGACAGAGATGACATTCCGATTCTCCTAGAGAAGGGACTCTGCCAACCGTGGACGTGGGTGCACTGACACCTCTCACTGTCACAGCCTTGAGGTCCCCTCAGATGTGAGCTGAGCTCCTACTCTTCTCAGGCGAGCCCAGCCAGTGAGGAGGAATGGAAGCAGGGCCTGGGGTTCCCCTGACGGGCAGTATTCCCTCCCGAGCTCCCCACTGGGGTGGCTGAGGTTACGGCAGGTCTGTACCCAGCCTGACAGCTCCCAGCCCACTGGGCAGTCTCTGCTCTTCCTGTCACAGGTGGTGGTAGTGGGTGCCATTGACTTGATCCTGACTCATAGCAACCCCCTGTGAGAGCAGAACTGCCCCACAGAGGTTCTTGGCTATAATCTTTATTTATTGGTTCCAACCACAAGCCTTTTGGATAGCAGCCCACCGCTTAACCATTGTACCACCTCATTTGCAGGTGTTAGAAACAAAAACCCACCGCTGTGGAGTTGATTCTGACCCACAGTGCCCCTAGAGGACAGAGTGGAACTGCCCACAGGGTCTCCAAGGCTGTCAATCTTCACAGAAGCAAAGCCC